AAGTAATTGATCACCTAATATTAGCTTATATTTTGGACACCTTTCACCTATAATGTCAAAAGAAGAAAAGGATATGATAAAAGAAATGGAGGAATACATACCACATTTGGTTCTCAACCTCTTATGCCTTATATAATTAGGTCTAATACATTTTTATTGTTTTAGTTGGATCCTATTCATACTCACACAATCGAATTAGGTCCGCCGAGGATGCATTTAGAACTCTTATTGGTGGGTACAAATATATTGAGAACTATTTAATTTGGGTTTGCAAAAAACACAAGCTAAATTGATTCTTAATGTAAAAGGTTAGGAGTTAAAACCTTAAGTTTTGTGGTACATCAAATTGACTTCAAACTTGTTTTCTTTTAATCTTGAATTGTACAATAAAATACAATCATTCCGTATCATTTAACTTACTTATATGTTATGCAACTTAAATTTAAAATATGTTATTTTTATTGAAAGAGAATTATCACTAAATTACTTGAATCATTATTGCTTCGAACCCTTCGTTAAGCAACTAATTTCACCCAAAAAAAAAAAAACATTTGTAATAGCCCATTGTGGTCCAGTCCAGAGAAATAGAATTTAAGCATGTGGCCCATTTGTAGACATAACATTTTCTTTTCTTTTCTTTTTTTAATAGGAGAAAGTCTTAATAGGAATTTGAACTTTAACATGGATCAAAGTGTTTAATGCATTTTTTTTTTTAAATTTTGGTTGCATAATGGGAAGCAACCATCTCTCATCCCTTATTTCATCTCACTTACACATCATGCAACTTAAACTCAATACCTCTTACTTTTAACGAAAAGAGATGACCGTTAAGTAACTTAAGTCATTAACAATGTTTAATGCATATTGTCAGTCCACTAAAGCTGCAAGTGCCATTTGTAGACTTGCTTTGATTAGGCCATGACTGGGGAAACAAATGCATGTTCCTAGTATAAGTAAACTCCGGTCTTCTCACATCGAAGAAAGTCTATGTATAACTCACAAGAGATGTTGATTTTTCCTAAGTTAATTTGGTTTCCCAGTCAAGAAAACACGCTCGGTGCGTGGTGGCTGTGATAATGTTACATGTAAATCGAATTCAACAGAGGCAAAAACCATACCACTAACCACAAAATTATCTATATAAAGAACTTAAACCAACCCACTACAAGTCTACAATTACCTTAAGGCCAAAAAAAAAAAAAAAAAAAAGGAAGAACACACTACAATACAATTAGTCAGCTACCATACTCTTTCGTCTCTATATACGCAGATCTCCCAAGTCAATGACCACGTTCCCACTAAGATTTCCTTTTCTGCTCTGAGCCCAAATATCTCATCTTATTTGTCTTACATGTTGTAACGTACTTGAATTAGACAATTAGCGTCGTCTTATATATTAGGGTTAATATTTAAAGTATATTTGTTTGAAAGAATAGAAGAGATGGGAGGAAAATTGAAGGATTTATTTGAATATGTGAAAAGGAAATAAAGAAATTTAAACTTTGAATGGAAAAAGAAAGTAAAATGAGAAGTTTCAATTTTCCCCCTTTTATTTTTCTTTTTAATCAAATAAATAAATTGTCTTTTCTCTTCTTCCCAGCCTCTATTTTTATTTATAACCAAATAAAGGAATCATCTTTTCCTCTCTCTCATTTCCTTCAAATCAAATAAGTTATAAATATAGCATGTTAATATAAAAAATGCATTTTTAAAATTAGGGAGGAGAGATTTTCCTAGAAAGAGAAGGGGAAGAAAGAACTACAATTAACAATGGTAATGAGGCCCTGTGGGACAGCGACCCCCTCTCCATTTTTATCCTCATCAATAGCGAATATACGAATCCTAAGGGGATTTTTGACAAGGGCAAAAAATGCCCTTATCCCTATCCCTCAGTATACGAAGTTTTGTCAAATATTAAAATTATAGTATTTAACCTTATTTTTTTTGGATAAATAAATTTTATAACATTTAATAAGAGGTAATTCATGAGGTATAAAAATAAAAACTTGTAGAAGTGAAAAGAATGCAAAAAAAAAATTCCAAAAATAGTTTAAAATTTCACAAGCACCAGCTGAACATAACACTTGCACTTGATTTCATTTGGAATTCGAATAAGGTAGGGGTAGGTTCTTATGAAGAGATTTGCCAATTGCTAATTAAAAATGAATCAAATAACTCTATCAATTTTACATGATTTAAATAACTCTTTTTAACTTGAAACTAAATTGCAGCAACTTAAGTTAAAAGAGATGCAAAATATGCACTTTACATATGCAAATATCACTGCAGAAAGTTCTAATAATTGGGTTTGGGGATGATTGAAAGAGAAATTGGGCTGGACAATTCAGATTGAGTAAAAATTAATTGGGTTTTTTTTTTTTTAAATATATTATGATTTATTCAAATATAAATTTATAATTTTTATGTTATATATGGATTCCTGCAAAGATCCATGAGATGGAGAGATATTCTCATGAAATTTTGTTGAGTAAAAAATTGTCTCTATTCCCACCCTAAAATAAATGTTTTCTAATTACAATACCTAATTTTTAACTCAACGAAGATGAAAGCATTTTTATTTTTATTTTTTTATTTTTTTATATTTTGATTACACAATGAGAAACAATCATCTTTTATTTCTTATCTCGTCCCATCCATATACCATGCATTCGAATTCAAAATATCTTATTTTTAGTAAAAAAAGATGATCACTGAACTACTTATGTCATTGGTTATTTATTTATTTATTTTTAACAATAATCATCCACAGAAAGCTTAAACTGCAAAGCTAAACTCAGAGAAAGCTAGCCCCTAACAAGTCCTTAATGAGGATGTGGTGAAGACCATAAGGTGGAGAATCTAAGATATTGGTACGTGGGCCCGGCGGGGAAGAATGACCAAGAGAACCCAAGAGGTCAAGCCGCACCGCAACATTATTGCCTTCACACACAAAGCATGTTGCAACTAGCACAATTCGAACTCCATCAAAATCTTGATATCCAACAGGAGAGCAGCGGATTGATTGCCTGGTTCTCTGCCATCGTTGATGAATCAGACGACCATGAGTGAGTCCGTCTATGCCACCACGCAACTCCAAATGCACGGCAGACATAGCCCCTGCTAACATTTCTTGTGCTGAACAATAATTGATATCTTGGATAACCAACTTTATCTTGAGTCCCTAACTTTTCTTGTCAACTGGGGTCGCAAACGTCTTGCTCGATGTCAATTTAGTTTTGATTTTTCCTCCTTTTTTTTGTTTTTTTCAATTTAAATTTTAAAGAATCTTAGTCAAATTAACTATTTATATTTGGCACTTAAATGTCCAAACAACTTTATATATATATTGAATTATATAATAAAAAATAATATTATTTATTTATTTATTTGTTTTATTTACCTATCATATCAATCAATTGAAAATCTTCTACTTTCATTAAAATAAAATTTACTCAACTGCAGTTTATTTTTATGGAAAAAAGCGTTAAGGGACAACCACAAAATGAATAGCGTCTAGCAACAAAATATACTCTCTCGTGTCTTTTATTAACTTAATAATTTTATATAACAAATAAATAATAATTAAAATTTTTTAATTTCAGTGAAAGAAAAAAAATAAAAAGTAAGGCTTTTAAATATTTAAAATGTGAAATTTTTTTCATAAAATTATTTAAATACTCTTAATAACTTTTTTTTTTTAAACAATATTATCATGAGATGGGTTTGAAGTCGTTCAAAGAAAAAAAAAGATGCACTTCAAAATGATCAAATCTACACCAGAAGTGTCAAGTGCCTTAATAACTCTTTTTTATATATTAAAATCATTTAAATTTATATAAAAATTTTAAAAAAATTCAGTTGCCCTATATTTCCTACATAAAATTACCTAATTAAATTCTAAAAAGTTAAATAAATAAATTGAGACAATTAAATTAAACAGAGTAATACTTCACTCTCCAGTAAAAACGTCCACAATTTCGTTATGCTTGTATCAAAACGCAGAAGGAACAAAAAATCAAACAATGACAACGAGCGTGAACATCACAAGATAAACGTCTATCAATCAACTAAATTAAAATTGGATATGTTACACATTCCTGATTCCCCCCTTCTATCAAATCTTAACTAGAAGCTTAATTTCCAACATTGTGCTTACCAAGACAAAATTTACAGGATATGCTGGTTTAGAAACTAGCTTAACATCTCATCTAATTCCCAGAAGGGAAAAACCATGGAAGCAAAAACTCTCCCAAGTTACAGATCAAATATAAAGGGAACGAAGGCAGTTCTTTTTCTCCTCAGTTCCGAGAGGTGCGTCAAAACAAACTCAAAGGTAGATGCATAAAACATCAAAATGCACCCGTTAAATCATATCCCACACAACCCCAACAAAACCCTCATTCAAATCCCCATTTGGTCTTCTTCCAAGAGAGACCCACTCTGATTTTTTCCCTCACATACTTCCTACTGCTCAAACAAACACTCCTACCAAAATCAAAACCTAAACACCTAACACGATAAACGATCAAATTGCAAATAACACAATCAAAACGTCCAGATGTATTGTTTTTTTCTCATGGTCTCTTCTCAGTATCTGTAGTGAGGAGGCTTGTAAGGACCCTCAACAGGCACGCTAATGTAATCAGCCTGCGCCTTGGTAAGCTTGGTAAGCTTGGCACCAAGCTTGCCAAGGTGAAGAGCAGCAACCTTCTCATCAAGGTGCTTTGGCAAGACATACACCTTCTTCTCATACTTGCCAGTTCGCTTCTCCTTCCAGAGCTCAAGCTGGGCAATCACCTGGTTTGTGAATGAGCATGACATCACAAAGCTAGGATGGCCAGCGGCACAACCCAAGTTCACGAGTCTTCCCTCAGCCAACACAATGATGCCTGAGTTGGTTTCAGGGAAGACCCACCTATCAGTTTGAGGCTTGATGGTGATGCGCTTCACACCAGGGTAGGCCTCAAGCCCATGGATGTCAATCTCATTGTCAAAGTGGCCAATGTTGCAAACAATGGCATTGTTCTTCATCTTCTTCATGTGGTCTACCATGATGATACCCTTGTTGCCGGTAGTGGTGACAAAGATGTCAGCCACAGAGACAACATCCTCAAGGGTCAGAACTTGAAGTCCCTCCATAAGAGCCTGGAGAGCGCAAATGGGATCAATCTCAGTCACAACGACACGAGCTCCAGCATGCTTCAACGCAGCTGCACAGCCCTTGCCAACATCACCATAACCACAGACAACAGCAATCTTGCCAGCAATCATGACATCAGTTGCTCTCATCAACCCATCAGGGAGAGAGTGGCGGCATCCATACATGTTGTCGAACTGTTTGAACAAAAATCATATATGTTAGAATTGAACATTACAAATCAAAACATTAGTTAAAAGAAATTGACAACTTACAGGGTACAAGTTAACATGGGAATCTTGTAGACAATTATTAAGAACAATTTAAAACCAATTTCTGTTCCCTTTTTTACAAAGAATCTACTCAACGATTCTTCAGAACTTGAAAGCCTCCATGTCTAGAATTAAAAATTAACTTACAAAAGACTAAATACAGAGCATTAACATAAATATAGTTGTTCAGATTGCAATTTAGCCAAAAACGAAACATTGATTTGGACTCTTGAAGAGTAATAAAAACAAAAGAAAAACAACTAAGACTTGTAAAAAAACCATATCAAGTAAACATCAGCTCTAAAGCCACACTTGGACCACATTCCAGATCTAAACCTTAACGCAGAAAGCAAAATCATAACTAAATAATCAACATCAGAACCTAAAGCTTGTCATCTTCAACTCATTTTCATCAGTTTTGCATCAGACTTCAGGAAATCAGCATTAATCTGCACAGTTCAGACTGAAATAGCAGCAGGAAAACCTATATCCGCAATCAAATAACACAGACCTATAACAAATCGAAGTTAAGTAGCAACGAAGTACGAGCACGATACCTTGCTCTTGGTGACGGAGTCGTTGACATTGATGGCGGGGAACAAGAGTGTTCCATTGGCCTGCATCTGGTAAAGCCTCTTAACTCCGGTGGTAGTTTCCTCAGAAACACCAACCAATCTATCCTTCATCTTGGTGTACTTCTTGGGATCTACTCTCAAGCCATCGCGGATAATAGTCAGCACGATCTGGAACTCCGTGTTGTCGGTGGATGACGGATCGGGAAGCTGGCCGGTCTTCTCATAGATCCCTTCGGCCTTAACTCCCTCATGGATCAACAGCGTCGCATCACCACCGTCGTCGACGATCAGATCGGGACCACCGCCAGGTCCCCAGTCGAGAGCTCTCTCGGTGCACCACCAGTACTCTTGGAGAGTCTCACCCTTCCAGGCAAAGACGGCAGCGGAGTCACGAGCGATGGCGGCAGCAGCATGGTCCTGGGTGGAGAAAATGTTGCAGGAGCACCAGCGGACCTCAGCACCGAGAGCAGTGAGGGTCTCAATAAGGACAGCAGTCTGGATAGTCATGTGGAGAGAACCAGTGATCTTTGCTCCCTTGAAAGGCTGCGAGGGGCCAAACTCAACACGGCAGGACATGAGTCCAGGCATTTCAACCTCGGAGAGTTCGATCTCGAGGCGGCCAAATTCAGCCTGAGACATATCTTTGACCTTGTACTCACGGCCGCCGGCGGTCTTTTCCACGAGCAACGACATGATTGGGAGATAAGAAAGAAACACACTGCGTGGAAAGCGGGAAAAGAGTGGAGTGAGTAAGAAGTGGCGAACTGGCGATGGAGGTGAGTGGAGTACGGATGTATAAATAGATTAGAGGGGAGAAATGGACGGTCAGGATTGCGATGATAGGGCTTGGTGGATTTGGTAAAAACTTAAACTTAGCATATCTTCTGCATAGTAAGCGGAGGGTGATGAGCGCGGCCCGCGTGGCTGCTGCGATTGTGGAATTTCAGAAAAATGAATTTTGAAAAAGCAAGAAGGGTTTTCATCTTTTATCAGAGAAAAAAAAAAAGGGTTTTGGATCGGAGAATGTCTGACTATACTCTTAATCCAAATGTTTAATTAAATAAAAAATTTTATGAAAAAAAAAGATATATTACAGTTTAATTTATGAGAAAAGTATATATTAATTTTAACTTTTAAAATAAATTAAAATTTTAATTTTAAATTAAATTATTTTATTTAATTAAAATTTAATTTAAATTTTTAAAATTTTTTATATTAAATATCAATATTTACGCATATTAGTTAAGTGAGGAAAAAATGAAAAATGAAATCTATGAAATTCGAATATGTCATATACAGCAAGTAAATAACTTTAACTTAAATTCATGTCATCAAACCGAGACGAACTGTTTATATTAAATATTAAATATCATAAATTTTTATATTTTGAATTAAAATTTTAGTTTTTAAATATATATTAAGATTTTAATTTTTTTTAAATTAAAATTAATATACACTAACATCTTAATTTATATTAAATTATTAAATAAAAAGGGTTGTTACTTTTACATTTAATGTTAGCAAAAAGTCCAAAAAATGCATAAGAGATTCACCCTAACTACTTCTAAGAAGCTAATAACACACATTTAATACCTTAACTTACACTAAACTTTAAATCTCTATTAAAACAATTATAATATTTCACTCTGCCTCAAAATTCCCTTGGTAAAAAAAAAAAAAAAGTATGAGGGTTTTTAGAGTCTGTTTAGGTGGAGTTACTGACAGTTTTAAGTTTTTGACACTATTTATATTTTAAAATTAAAAAAAAATTTAAATAGTAAAAATTTTAAAATTTTAAATTTAAACTTTTTATAAATTTTTTTATTCACTTTTTACTATTTTTTATTTTTAAAAATAATTTTTAAATATTTTCATAATAAAAATTTTAATTTATTACTTATAACAATATTAAAAAAATAAAAATTCTTTAAAACCAAATAAAAAGAGGCTCTTACTTCTGCGTAACAAAGTACCATGTGCATTGCATTGGTGGGACCTAAATACAAGTAGGCTCCACTTTACTCGACACAGCGAGGCGGCTTAGAGACCAAGATAAGACACTGGACCGGTGCCTGTAGTCATCGAGGAGGAGAAAAACTAAAAACAAAAAATTGAAAATATCTAGAGAGAGTCGCAGGTAAAATAAACTTTTTCAATGCTATTTATATATATATATATGAAAAAAATGCACGTTAGTTTTATGTTTTAAAGATTAAAAAAAATTATTTTAAAATTATGTCATTTTAATAAATTTTAATATTATATATATAATTTTTAGGAAAATTTCAATGTTACATTACATACAGAGACTAATGTTTATCCATGCAATTCAATCATTTTTTTTTTTAACAGTCTACCATTTGGGGGAGAAGGGATCTTTTTTAACACTTAGTAAGTCTCAAAATCACAATTAAGATTTTTTCTAAGGTATTGATAAGGTTTGAAACTTCAATCAATAAATCTAAGTATTTTGAAGATTAGGGATAAATCTTGAACAATCTACCATTTGGGGAGAGGGAATCTTTTTTAAGACTTAGTGAGTCTCAAAATCACAATCAACATTTTTTTCTAAGATATCGATAAGATTTGAGACTTCAATCAATAAATCCAAGCATTTTAAAGATTCTAGACAAAAAGTTGGGTTTACACAATTCCATCATTTGAAAATATCTGAGGGAAAGTAATTATTGTGCTGAGGCTTTTGAGAGAATGCGTTACCCGTTTTTGAGAAGCAGTTAGAGTTGGGTCCAAGGAGAAAGGCTATGGGAAGGTCTGCTTGATTAAAGTTAGGGAATATCTGCTTGGAGTTTGTTGGCCCTATGTTATTAGATAATTTTTAGTGGTTTATCATTGTCTTTTATACCAAAGAAGGAAATTAATGTTTATTCATTTTATTTTTTAAAAATTATTTAAATTTGTCTAATATATATTTTAAAAGTACACATTAAAAATATATTAAATATATATTTTTATCATAAATTTATATTTAAAAATAGTTAAAACCTCATTTTAATCTCTAAACTATTATAAGAACCCCCCGATTTAGTCATTGAATTAAAAAAATTTCAAGTTGACCACTAAGCTACTTATGGTGCTTATATTACTCCAATAATTTATTCAGTGGTTATATCTTTTTACTGAAAATAAAAGATCTTGAATTCGAATCGTATGACAAGTAGATGGAGTGGGATAATAGATAATTGCCTCTCATTGTGCAACTAAATTTAAAAAAAAAAATCTACACCATAACTAAAAATTAATTTAGTTTTAGGTAATTTTAAGGATGTAAGCTTTATATTGGTGTTAGTTCTAAAATTTATCAACAAAGGTGGTGGCCGGTGGTAACTCACTTTGTGGTTGCCGCCAAAATAGTCAACTTGATCCTTGTTGTCCCTTTCTCCTCATAAATTCTATCTCTCATTCCTTTCAATTAACAAATTACGCAAAACCAAAGGTATAAATCCTTTCTCTTTTTAACTAAATCTGAAAAAATTTTAGAAATTTTTTTTATTTTAAATTTCAATCCCTTATTTTTTTAATTAAATTCTCATTGTTTGTTAGAAAACATTAACCTTAAAATGAATCCATTTGTTTTGATAATAATATATTTACTTGCGTTAACTTTATTTTTTATTTAAATTACAATGTGATTATCTTATTGTGTTCACATGAAAATTAATAGTGAAGAGCATCGATCAATCAATTCAAGTGTAAGCTTTTCGCTTGGATTTGTTTTGATTTAATTTTTTTTAGAGATCATTTTTATTTTTGTGTTATTAGCTGCTCTGTTTCTATGAAACCAATTTACTAGAAGTTGTGTTTTCAAATTTAAGTTTGTAATATAAGATTATTATTGAATTCAACCAGAAATTTTACCATTAAAATCTAAAAATAAAGTTAAAAATGCTAAGAATCAAGCCTCGGTTAAAACTGTAACCGACACTGAAAATTATAAAATAAAAATAACCACATATTTAAAAACCGTAATAATTTAATGCGGTTAACGTTGCTATATTTTAAACACCGATTATACAATTAACCATTAAATCGGTTACAACCGAAACCACCCAATGCCCAGCCCCACCTCAACGTCTTCTCAAAAACGTGTAACGCATTCTCTCAAAAGCATAAGCACCATAATTACTTTCCCTGTTCATTGCCTATCTTAAAAAAAAGAAAAAGTTTGTCTATCATCATTATTTAGTTTTCCCTGTTCATTGATGATTATTATTTTTTTTAAATGTGAAATTTTAAATTAAAAAATAAATTTTGATTTTAATTTTAAAATAAGTAAATAAAAAATTAACATATGATATTTATAATTAAAATAAAAATTAATTTTATTATTTTTAAGATAAAAAATTATAATAATTCTATAATTATTACATTTTATTTATACCTTTAAAATATAAGATAGATCAACAAAACATACTTTCCCTGTGATATTTTTAAATGATAGAATTGTATGCATAAACTTTAATTTCTGTATATAATTGTTTCTTAAAAAATCCTTAAATACTCTTACATATATAAAATTTGAATACAAACATATCAATTTCTTTATTAAAAGTAAAAGAGAAAGATTTTCTTAACAATCCTCTCCTATGTAATGGTCGGCCTTTTTATGGATAGCAAGAAAAATGTTAATTTAAAATTAAAATCTACACGTTAGACGATATACAAAAGAAAAGACTGTCTCCCTACGAAATTGGTTACTAAATCTATTTGGAGATAACCATTTATTCAGTGGTCATGGCGTGGATTTAAAAACACTTTACGGACAACAAAGTCACAATCGATGCACTTAATACCGTTAAAGTAATTAAAATTTAAATCATAATATTATCATATTACAATTCTTTATTTATTATTTCAAATTGTACTGTATTTGTTTAAAAAAAACACTTTAACTAAAAATAGTTTTTATAAGAAAAAGTGCCATGACGATCGGTCCTACCAAAAGATAACAGGGGACTATCGGCAGTCCATAATATCTAAATTTATCCCCATTGTATAGTGATAGAAACAGATTTATTTCAGATAAAAAATAAAGATATATTTATTATAAAAATTTTTATTTAGATAAATCACTTTAAATTTAATGTCATTTGATATAAGTAATTCGTTAATAGTGACATAATAAATTAATAAATTATTGATATCAAATAATATTACATATTAAATTTATATTGATTTGTATAAATTAAAAATTTTATGGTTAAATTTATTTTTATTTTTTATTTGAGATAGATACATTTCTGTTACTGTACCTGAGGATGAATTTGGGTATTTTGCCATATAGGTAGCATTAGGAGTGTTCATATCCGATCCAATCTGATTGATCCGGTCTAAACTAATCCAATCCAATTAAAAACTGATTTAAATTGATATAAAATTAAATTAGTTTGAATTCTAAAATTTTAAAACCGATGTAATTGGTTTGATTGTAATTTTACTTTCAAACCATCTTAACTGCTCGATTATAAAATAAAATTCGATTGAAAGATAATTTAATTAAATAATATAACATATTTTTTTGTAATATTTTAAATTTTTTTTCTTATTTTACAAGATTATAACTCCATTAGCTTAATTAAAAAAATAAAAATAAAACATATTCATATTCCCTAAGTTATTTCTCCATTTTAATCATGCATTCTAATCTGAATTCTAAATTTTTAATTCACTTACAATTCTACCATTTTAGAGCTGATTTGCACATTTATTTTTAGAACGTTAAATATCTAATTTATTTTGAAAATA